TAGTATTTTCAATATAAAAAAAAAAAAAAAAAAAAAAAAAATGAAAAAGAAAAAGAAAAAGAAAAAGAAAAAGAAAAAGAAAAAGAGAATTTAAAACAATAATATTTAACAGACTATATATTTTAAAGAGAGTATCTTTTTGTCTTTGATTATATGAGTTTATAATTCAGAATTTCCTTTTATCCTTTCATTTTATAAAATATATTTAATAAAATGAAAGTTATTAAATATTTTATTAAATAAAATGCCATTCCTTCATAAACATATTTTTCATAACAATAGGAAAAACTTCTATTTATATATAATTTTAATTTAATATATTTAAATATAAAACAAACATATTTTATTCTTCATCTATTATGAATTATAAATAATATTCTTATTAATATTTAATGGTTAATTCAGTCTTTTGCTAATAATTTTTTTTTTATTTCGTAAATTTTTGTAGAGGAATTATAAAACAGATGTATTTGAATATTTAGAAAGAAAAATAAAAATGATTATAAAATTTTTTCTTTATTTTTATTAAATCGTAAATTTTTTATAATTATTAAAAATAGTTTTAACTTTTAAATTGTTATAAAATTAGTACTTAGTAGAACACAAAAAAATAAAAAAAAAAAAAAAAAATATATATAAAATTATTTCTTATTTTGTTGAAATCTTAATTTTTATTTTTTTTAAATATAACTTCAACATGTAAATATATAGAATGAAAAAATTAAAAACACATCAGAAAAACATATACTTTTATAAACAAAAAATGAAAAAATAAAGAATATTTTAAATTAAAAAAAAAAAAGTGATAAAATAAATTAAGTTTTAAATTTTATAAGATTCTCAAAAGTTTAATAATTTTTATAATTAATTAAAAATGAGAATTTTTCTTGGATTATAAAATATGATATGATGATAAAAGTAGATAAAGTGTTTTAGAATATAAAGTCTTTTAAGTTACCTATTTTTTAAAAATATTTATAAAAAAAGATAGGATAATTAAAATTTTTAAATAGTATTATATTTTAAAAAAAAAAAAAAAAAAAAAAAAAATAATTAAACATCTATTAAATTTAGTAAAAAGTTAATAAAAATATATAAAGTATATTTTTAATTAAAAAGAATAGTACTATGGAATATTTTTTAAAAAAAAAAAAAAATGTCTTGAAAGTAGTAAATTATGAAAATAATTTAAATAAATATATAGATATTTATAAAAATAGTGAAAAGAATATATATAATATTTATTTGAATATATATAAAGAATATAAAAAAAAAGTAGAAGAGAATACGTTATTTTCTGGTGGTGATGAAAAAAGTGAAAGTCTAAGAAAAATAGAAAAAAAAATAAAATTAATTATTGAAGAAAAAGAAATAAATAGTAATAAAGATGATAAATCTATTAAGAAAAGCATTGACCTATTAATTTATCCATGTATATATGAGATAAATAAAAATGAAAGTTATTATACTTCCTCCTGTTGTTCTGGTAGAATAGTTATATTTAGTGAAGTCAGAGAAAATAATACAAATTCAGAAAATAATTTCTTTAATCCTTTTTTAAAGAAAAAATTAGAAAATTATGAAAATATTAAAGATACTTTAAATAAAAAGAGAGAAGAAGAAATATTTGTTAAATATATGAAAACAAATACCACAAAAAATAAAAAAGAAGAAAAAAAAAATATTTCAGATTGTGAAAATTATGGTTATTTAAAAAATAAAATTATAGATAATTATCAATCTCCATTTCATTGTAGCAAAAACAAATTACATAAAAAAAATGTTCATATATTTTATTCAAGCCATTCTCATCAAAACTTAGAATTCGACGTAAATTATATAAGAAAAATTCTAATAAAAGAAAATTTTATAAATGACTATATCTTAAGTAAAAATTGTAGTAATTTCATAGAAGATAACAAAATAAGTACCCAAAATAAAATAAGGAGAAAATGTAAAACAAAAAATTACTACAGTAATAGTTATACAGATGATGATAAAGTAAAGAAAATTATAAAAAACAAGAAAGAAAGTAACAAAATTTTTATAAAATTTGAACCATTCATTATTCATATTAAATGCATTGATTTATTAAGTGCATTAAAATTATTAAAAATAGCTCAATATTCTGGTTTGAAACAAAGTGGAATTTTAAATTTTGGTAAAAATGTAACTGTTGCAGTAAGAGGATCTGTACGAATGGAACATTTTTTAGGTAATTCTATTGAAATAAAAGAATGTAATTTAGTTAAATTAATTTATATATGTAATAATAAGATGACTAAAAATTTAATGCAACTTATACATTTTTACGAATGTTATAAAAGATTGAATACACAAAACAATTACAATTTTAATTTTCATAATGAAATATCTTATTTAAAATATCAGGATCATTGCAAAGAGGACAAAACATATGTGAAGTGTACTGGAAAAGATGAAGAAAAATATAAATTAAGAAATGGAAATAAAGAATATAAAATAAATTTAAAAAAAAAACGAAAGAAAGAAATAAATTTAAATAAATATAATATAACATTATCTAAAGATAATTATATAGAAAATAAAAATTTTAATATTGATCCAAATAAATTATTACAATGGAAAATTTTAACAAATACCTTTGATATCCATAATTTTTTTGTATGGGGTCATGACATATTCATATATAAAAATAAAATTTATTTATATGGAGGTTTTTCAAAAGGTGTACGAAATAATAAATTGAAAATTTATGATATAATGAGTAAAGAATTATTAATATATGATACTGAATTACCTTCATTAGTTTTTCATACCTTTTTAAATTTAGATGATAAATTTTCATTTATATTTGGTGGGAGAAAAAATCCAAAAAATTGTACAAATAAATTATGGGTATATAATATCAAAAATAATTCTTGGATATTATCAAAAAATTTGCATTACTCAAATGATCATAATAATATAATTTTTAAAAATAAAAAAGTGGAAAATAAAAAAGGGATTGAGCAACCTTATTCTGATGAAGAGAATATTTTTAATTTTGGAACAGATGTACCATGTTCAAGATTTAGACATTCTTGCATATTTGTAAAAAGATATTTAAAAAAAAAGAATAATATATATATAATTTATATATATGGTGGTGTTAATAATAAAGGTGAAATTTTAAATGATATATGGGAAGGGAAAATAATTATAAATGAAGAAAAAAATGAAGCTTTTGTTAAATGGACTCAAAAAAACTTCTACAATAAAAATGAAGCATTTTATATAAAAAATCATACCATGGTTTATCATAAAAAAAAAAATTTTATTTTAATTATTGGTGGATATAAATTCCATAAAATTGAAAAAGAAGAAGAAAATCCTTCTTTTATTAAAAATGAGTGTGATCAATATATTAATTTCTTAGATGGAATTAGAAATTTAAATGATAAATATATGGAATATTTATATGCTTTTGATATAAAAAACGATAAATTTTTTTTTATTAAATGTAAAGGAGATGAACAATTTTCATATCCTTTATCTAGATTTTCTCATTCAACTTGTTTATTAGACCAAAATTTCTTTTTTTTAATAGGAGGATTAGATATTCATAAAACATTAAATGATATTTGGATATTTCAAATAAAAAATCATAAATGGTTTTATTTGGGAAAAATTCCTTATTTGAATATGTATATAAGATCAAAGGTTGTTAGTGAAAATTATTTCGTTTATATTATTGGGGGTGGATGTACTATTTTCACTTTCGGAAGTTTTTTTGATATACCTATTTATGCCAATTGCACACAAATAATAAACTTTTATAAGAACTACAAAAATTCTTTAGAGGATTTAGAATGTAAGGAAATATTCACAAAAAACAATATAAATAGTAGTAGGAAAATGGTAAATATGAATGAAAGTAGTAAGTTATGCACTGAATACAACATAAATGAATATAATAAAAATAATGAAAATTATATAAATACTAAAGAAGTTATTGTACAAAAAAAAAAAGATTGTGTATTTAAAGAAGAGGTTAAAAATTTTGCTGAAAAAAGAAACACAAGTTTTATTAATAAATCAGTTAATAATTTTAATGATAAGAAGAACATTCAAGAAAATGGAGTTGATAATAATGAGAAATTATTGAATAGCTATTTTTTTCAAAAAAATGAAAAACCAAAAAAAAAAAAAAAAAAGAAATCTACAATTTATTATAATATGTCATCAGATCATAAAAGTAGAAAACAATTGTATATTTTTGTTAAAAATAAGATATTTCTTAAAGATATAAAAATATTTTTAGAAAATATAGGAAACTTTGACCATTCTCAAAAAATTTATTTCTCAAATAGCCATATAAATGGTATAAATATTGAGGGTTATTTTATACCAGTTAAAAGAAAATTTGATATGTATGAAAATTATGAAGGTTTTAAAAATATATTAGATAAAATTGAAATGTGTGATAACAGAGAAATTTTTTACTTGGAAAAGATTATTGAAAGTAATAAGGAAAAAAATAATTTTAAAAATAAATTAAGAAATTTATTTAATAAATTTGTAAATAACAATTTCAAAAATTATATAAATAAAATGGAGAAACAGTTAATATTGAAGGCTTGCAGAAAATATGAAATAATCGGAAACATTTTGATATTTCATTACGTACACTTAGAATCAATAATTAAATTATATAATAAATATAAAAATTACTTAAAAAAAGATAAACATAGAATGAAGAATAAAAAATACAAAATAAAATATGTGTTACATAAATATAAATTAAGAAATAGTGTGTTATCTCATATATTAAATAAATATAAATATAAGCTTTTTATAAAAGAAGTAAAACACTTTTGGATATCTATAAAAAACATTTTTAATAATCATGGAAAAAAATGTGGAGGGCAAAAAAAAAGTATATTTTTAAAAAGAAATAATACTTTCAAAAAGTTGATATATTTGTCAAAAAGAAAAATAAAAAGAATTATTTTTACTAGGGAAACAAAAGAATTTTTATTAAAAAAATATGTACATAAATATTATATAGTAAAAATAAATTTACTTAAAATAAAAAATGAAGAAGAAAATAAAAATAAAATAAAATCTATTGCAATATATAAAAAGGTTGAAGGAAAATTAAGAAGAAATAAAATATATTTAGTATATGGAGAAAATTTAAAAACAGTTCATTCAGAAAATAATATTATATATAAATTAGATTTAAGTAAATGTATGTTTTCTTCAGGTAATGGTACTGAAAAGCAAAGAATAAAGAACATATATTTAAGTGGTAATAATTTTTTACAAAAAGAAAATGTTGTTGATTTATTTTGTGGGGTTGGGTATTTTACTTTATCTTTACTCAAATTTATAGGTGATGAAAAAATAAATAATTATTATGCTTGTGATATTAATCCATATTCTTTAAAATTGTTAAAAGATTCAATCAAATTAAATAAAATAAAAAAAAAAAACTTGCATATCATAAAACAAAATTCCTTTTCGATTTCAAACAATGTAAATATGGTAAGAAAATGTCACAGGATTATTTTAGGCCTTTTACCAAAAAGTTATAAAGCATGGAATAATGCCTTTAATCTTTTAGATAATAAAAAAGGAGGTATTTTACATATTCATGGTATTGGGAAATATGTTTTTAATGATGATTATTTATCTATAATACGCACATCTAATTACAAAGATAAAATTAAATTTCTTAATTTACATTTTGTTGAAAATTTAACAATACCTGAGTTAATACAGAATTATGAAAATAAAGAATGTAATGAAATTGGAAACAAAATTATTCAAACATATTACAATAAAAATAAAATTAAAAACATATATTTGGGAAATCATATTCCTATTAATTTAGATTTTGCTCAATTTACATTATTAGAAATTTTTAAAATAGCTTTAAAAGATTATATTTTAAATAAAATTAATTGGGTGATAACTATTTTAAATGTTGAGAAGGTAAAATCTTATGCACCACATATTTACCACTTTGTGGTTGATATCAAATGTACCCCAGAATTTATTTAAGCACATATTTTACATAATATAAAAAAAAAAAAAATAATTCATATGGAAATTTTAAAACATATATATATATTTATCTAAATTTAGAATATACTTAATATTAAAAAATTTTAATTTTTATATGTATTTTTTTTTTTTTTTTTTAACTTAATCTTTTTATATATATATATATTTTTCTTATTTTATTTTTTTCTTTTTTTTGTCCCAGTAAGTTATAGATACATATGCCTTTTATGTTTTTTCACAAATTAAAATTTTTTTAATTACATTTTTCAATCCTAAAAATATTTGTCTTCTGTTGTTTTGTTTTTATTAATATTATATAGTTTAATTTTTGTTTTTTAATTATGTTAAATTTTATTTTATCAATGAAAAAATCGTTTTAAAAGAAAAAAATTCCTTTTAACTTTAGTAAAATAAGAAACTTATTTTTTATTTTTTTTTTTTTTTTGAATAATCCTAAAGTAGTAAATATTAATAAAAAAAATAAAGAATACAAAGTACTTAATTTTTAAAATAAAAATCTAAGAAAAAAAATTTTAAAATTAATACATAAATAAAGAAAATAAAAAGCTAAGGCATCATGTATTAACTAAAAATTATTTTATGTAAATATAACTCTTTAAACATAATAGAAGATAAAAAAAAAAAAAGAAAAAAATAAAATAAAATAAAATTATAACAAAAAAAAATATATGAAACATATAAAGAACTCAATAAATTCTTAATATATAAATATTTTTGTTTTTTTTTTCTACATTTTATTAACGTACATAATATATATTAATATTACTGTAAAAATTAAAATACTTCAAATAATTGAAAGGAAAAAAAAAAGAAATAATATTATAAAAAATAAAAAATAATGGTTATATATTTTTAAATTTACTCATAGATTTAAATTTTATTTAAGGAAAAAAAAAAATGGCAGCAAAACATCGTAATAAAAAAAAAAAAATAATTATACAAATAAATTAAATATATCATATATATATATATATATATATATATATATATAAATTCATATTTATGTTCTTTATAATATAGATCCTGATTTAATAATGTGCCGAAAGCAACCAGGAATAGGTGATTATTAAAAAAAAAAAAAAAAAAAAAAAAATAGGAAAATATATTAATAATGAATTAAATTATAAAAGTAAAATTAAATGTATTAAGTAAATAAGCTTATGAAATAATAATTTAACTTTACTAATTTATTTTTATAAAATTGAGTATTATATAATTTTAATTTATATAATTTTTTTTTTTTTTTTTAAGCTATTGGTAGATTATGTGAGAAATGTGATGGTAAGTGTCCGATTTGTGATTCATATGTAAGACCTTATACTCTTGTAAGGATATGTGATGAATGTAATTACGGAAGTTATCAGGTTATTAAAAATTTGTATATATATATATATATTTATGTATTTATTTATTTATTTATTTATTTATTTATTTATTTATTTATTTATTTATTTATGTTTTACTAACATTAAACATTTACAATTATATTTATTAAGGGAAGATGCATAATTTGTGGAGGAACAGGAGTATCAGATGCTTATTATTGTAAAGAATGTTGTCTTTGTGAAAAAGATGTAAGACATTTAAGAATAATTTTTTTTTTTTTTTTTTATATATTACATTTATAAATGATATACTAAATTTTTTTTTTTTTTTTTTTTTTTTTAAAGAGGGATGGTTGCCCTAAAATTGTAAATTTAGGTAGTGCTAAAACAGATCTTTTTTATGAAAATAAGAAATATGAATTTAAAAAACATTAATGCTATTACACATTTTTTATTTTAATTAACTAATAATATATTATAACTAAAAGAAAAAAAAAAAAATAAATAAATAAATTAAAAAAATTTCATATATATTTCATTTCACTTTCAGTAGTATTATTATTAGAGTTTCTACTTCTTCAAATTTTTTTTCATTCTTTAAAAAAAAAAATTAAAATATTTTAGTTATTTACAAAGTATTCTTTTTTTGAAATTTGATTAAATAGTTCTAATTTTTTTTTAATCATTTAAAAAAGATATCAAAAGCATATTTTTTATTACTTAAAAGCAAATCATAATAAAAACCACTAAGGTTCAATCTGGTTGAATTGCAACCATATAAGACATGAAACATACTGCATAAAACCCACATTGGTATATCATCAAAAATTGATGTACAGAATTTTTCAAATGTGTCAAACAAATATTCGTCTATATTTATATCATATGTTTCTTTAACATTATTTACATTTTTTAATTTTAATCCATTTAAAAGATCTTCAATTATGTTATGACATATTGATCTTGATAATATCCTAGTTTTTTTTTTTTTGTCACCTGGTTTTCTATTTTTTATGTTTTTATAAAAACCAAATTTTTTATAATGCTTTCTATTTATTTTTTTATTATGCATAAAATAGTAATAATTTTTCATAAATAACATTCCCTATATATAAAAAAAAAAAAAAAAAAATAATAATAAAACACATAAAATTGATAATTCCTAATATTGTTATATTGATTTAATTTATTAATTTATTAATTTTATTAATAAAAGAATAATTTTTATTATTATTATAATTTTTATTTTTACAATTAATTTATATTTATCATTTGTATCATTACAATCATTTGATCTACAAAAAATAGTATTATTAAAAAAAAAAAAAAAAAAAAAAAAAAACATATATATACATATGCTATTATTTTTTATTATGGAAAATTATAAAAAATGTAAAAATTATTTATATTACATTTCATTTCTTAAAAAGCATGATTTTATATATGAAATGCTGTTAAAAACTAAAAAAATAAAAACATAGAGAAGTTTTATTTTTTTCCTAAATATTTGATATTATAATGGAAATACTTACAATTTATAAGAAAGAATTTTTTTTTATTCAAAATCTTTTTTTTTAAGATTCTATCCATTTTAGAATAACAAATAATATATATAATTTAGTATATCAAAAAAAAAAAAAAAAAAAAAAAAAAACTTAATAGAACAAAATAAAAATAATTCAAAAACCTAATGAAACATGGATAATAAAATTTTTTTTTTTATGTCTTGATAGAACATAGAATGTTTTTAAAAAATTTTACAACAAAAAAATATTCTTATAAATCTTTCTTATAAACCTATTTAATTATATATATATTTATATAGATAATCAAGTAAAAATAAATATTAAATTAAATTATTATAATTATCAAATATAATTTTCATTTTTACACTTGTTTTAAATGTTATATATACTATTTAGTTTGCTGAAAAATATTTATTTATTTTTTAAAATAATAAATATAATTACAAAAAAAATTAAAAAAAAAAAAACAGAACAAAATAATCTATTGAAACAAAAAAATATTATTAAAAACAAATGAAAAATAAAAAAAATTATAGAGTGTATTTATACACGTATATGCAAAAAAATACAATAAGTACAGTTGTGGGTTATTTTTGATTTACAAATAAGAAAAAATAATAAAAAAAAAAATTATTAAAAAAAACACTATTTATTTAATTTAATATAAAAAATAAATAATTTAAATTCAAGAAAAAAAAAAAAAAAAATTAAATAATGTAAAAAATATATCTAATGAACAAGAAAAAAAAGCTCCTAATTTTTTTTTTTTTTTTTTTTTTTTATGAGTACCTAAAATATGACAAATTTCCAAAATGACCTTTTTAAGAATTTACAAAAAATAAAACTTTTTATTCATTTAACTTAAAAAAATATTAATTAAATATAATTAAAATTAAGATTTATATAATTTTTTTTTCCAATCTAATTTTTTACTGTTTGTTTTCTTATAGAATATAATAAAAAAAAAACAATTTTAATAACAGTTTATAATTCTGTAAAAATTCAGTTTATTTTTTATTTTTTTTTTTATTAGCATATAAAAAATTTAGTTAATAATTAGAAAAAAAAAGGAACTAGAAAAACATTGATTATATGGTTACCAAAAAAAAAAAAAAAAAAAAAAAAAAAAAACAAAAAAACAAAAAAAAAACAAAAAAAGAAAATTAAGAAAAAGAAAAATATTATGTGAATTATTAAAAAATAAAATATTTAATAAAATTAATTGTTCTTTAAATGGTTTGAGTTAATGTTTGAAAAAGAAAAATTATTAAAAAAAAAAATTCAAAAAAAAATAAAGCATCTTTTTTTTTTTTTTTTATAAATAATTGTATGATTCATGATTAAATATAATTTAAAAATAAAAAAAAAAATTATAAAAATTAAAAATAAATTAAGCTAGTTAAAATATATGTTTTTATTTTTATATTCCTAAATATATTTGTACATGTATTGGATTAATGGATATTGAAAATAAAAAATGCAAAAATCTTTTTATAATTTTTATTCTATTTTTTGTTTTAATACTATCTACATTAGGGTCTAAAAGTCAATCTGTTAAAAAATTTAAAAGAGAAGATGATGACCAAACGAGTAATGAAAATGAAAATCACAATAGAAACGATTTGCCAAATAAATTTTCTGAAACTATAATGTATAATAATATAGATACATTACATAATGATAGAGTTACAAATAGTTCACATAATTATAATGATAAATTTATATCTGAAGACTATTTAATGGAAACACAAAATAGTAATCATGAACATTTTATTTTAAAGAAAAATTCTCAAATGAATAATTTAAATAAACATAGTGAAAAGATAAGTTTCGCTAATGAAAATGATATTTATAAAAATGATAACAATATAAATGAAACTTATTATTACGACTATGATCAATCAAATTTTTTAAATGAAAATGTAAATGTAATTCCCAATAATTATAATTTTATTGGGGTTAAAAAAAAAGGAAATGGTAATCTAGAAAATGATTCTAATTATAATAAAGAAATGAATGAATACGAAAGTAATAAACAAAACAAAGAAAATGAGAAGCACAATATTGAAAAATATAAAAATATTCAAGAAAATGAAGAAGAATTAATAGATAATAATACTATATTATACAATGAAAAAAAAGAAGAAAATATTATAGATACTATATCTCATATTCAAAATGTAGAAAATTTAAAAAAAAATTATAATAAAATTTATGATAGTAATAATATGAAAGAAAATGAAAATATTGAAATCATATCAGAAGATAAAAATAGTAATTCAAAACATTATTATAATAAAGAAATAAATTTAGATAGTTTAGATAAAATACATATTAATAATAACATAGATAATAATATATCTAAAAGTAATATTAATATAGATAGTAATGTTAATACTATTGAGGAATCTAATAATACAAAAAATATTTCTTTAAATTATATTAGTAATAACACAGAAAATTTTCATTATGATAATGAAAATGTATTCAATAATGATAATAATGATAATTTTAATAATAATACTGAAAATAAAAATAACGATAATGTCAATAATGATAATAATGATGATGTGAGTAGTAATAATAATAATAATAATAATATTGTGAATAATGATAATAATGATGATGTAAGTAGTAATAATAATAATGATAATGTGAATAATGATAATAATGATGATGTAAGTAGTAATAATAATAATAATATTGTGAATAATGATAATAATGATGATATGAGTAGTAATAATAATAATAATAATAATATTAATAATTTGAATAGTGATAATAATGATGATGTAAGTAGTAATAATAATAATAATAATAATATTGTGAATAATAATAACAATCTTCATGAATCTATAGAAAATCAAAAGAAAAATATTGTATTAGAAGATAATTCAAATATAACTAAAAATAATTCTTTAAAGAATGATATCAATATTGACAATTTTGATAATTTTAATGGAATAGTATTAAATATATATTTCACTGAAAATATAAATTTATATACAAAAGTAAAAGTAGGTGGCCAGTTGTTAAATTTATCTTTAAATAGTAGATTAGAGGGAATTTACGTTTTTATGAAAGATTCTCAAGCTTGTTATAAAAATAATAATGAAAAAAATTGCTATGATCCCAATATTTCAAAAAAATCAACTTGGTGTAATAATGATTTGATTTGTTTACCACCAATTTTAACAAGACCTTACGAATGTTTTAGTGAAAATAATTTAAATATTCAGAATAAAGTAGAATATCCTAATATATATTATGATTCCTTAAAATTCAGTGAAAGTCATATTGAAGGATCTGATGATGTAGAATTAATCGACATATTAAGTAAAAATATTACAAATGACAATAAAGAATTATCACTTTTTGAAAATTCTAATATTAAGTTAGTTTTAGATATTACTTTTTATAAAAACTGGAGCTTATATAAAGATACTGATGGAATTTTAGGTTTGGCAGGGAAAGAATTAGGTTGTAGAAATGCAAGTGTGTGGAATATTATATGTGAAAAAAATAATTTATTATTTGGTATTGATATAAATTTGCCAGAAAAAGCTATAAAAAAATTTGTTCCTAAACTGAATGAAAGTATAAAAAAAGATATATCAAATTATAAAAACCCATTATATAAAGGTTTGAAAGTTTCTAAACTTAAAAAAGAATTAAAAAATGATCTTTGTAAAAAGGGAGCAAATTATTACCAAGCAGATCCCAAGCATACTAGTGAAAAATTAGCAGATAATAAAAAAAATAACAATAAAAATAAATATGAAAAAATCCAAGTTACGAGTAATAATAAAAATACATTTATTAAAAAAGATGATATTGCTAATTATGATACAAAAGAAATAAAAGAAAAAGCAAATATTAATCGTTATGTAGCAAATTCTGATATAATTTCGTATAATTCAGAAATACATATAGGAGATTATAAAAAAAATTATGGACCAATTATATGGGCAGAACCTAGAGAACGAGGTGGGATTTTTTCTGATTCATTCATGCAATTTACCATATATAATCTAGAAGTGTGTAATAAAAATATATTTGGGAAATATAGTAGTAATTGGCAGGGAGTTATTGATTTAAGTAGTAAATGCTTGGTTTTACCAAAAATGTTTTGGTTAAGCCTAATGGAATATCTTCCAGTTAATAAAAATGATGAAAGATGTATACCAAAAAATAAAAATGTAGAGTTTAATGAAAATACAATACCTAGAATGTGTTCTGTTGATGAGAAGAATAGGCCATTACCAGTTTTAAAGTTTGTTTTTTCAGATAATGATATTGTAAGTGATAATAATATAAATAATGTAGAATCCAATTTACAAGAAATTAACATCCCTTTAGATAATCTTATCATAAATGATAATAAACAAGATGAAAATTATTTATGTGTTATACCTGATATACAAGAAGGAAAATCAAGTGAAAATAATGGAAGAACAACAAAACCATTAATAAAATTTGGAACTTATGTATTAAATAATTTATATGTGGTAGTAGATCAAGACAACTATAGAGTAGGATTTGCACATAAAAAAAGTTACCATTATTCAAATGATAAGTGTACACAAAAGGTGGAATGTATAGGAGATCAATTTTATGAACCTGCTTTGAATATATGTGTTAATCCAGATTGTTCTATTTGGTATTTTTATATGCTTAATGATGAAACAAAAAAATGTGAATCTCTTTCTCCTAGATTTTACTTCTTTATAATAATTCTATTAACTTTATTAATATTAGATATTCACTCCTACTACTTTTATAGAAAATCTGTGCATGTTGCTAAAGTATCATCACGATAGAAGGAATAAAAAAAAAAAAAAAAAAATTTTAATTATTTTTAACCTTTACTATTATTATTAGATACTATATATATACTCTTATTATTTTTAATAATTTATTTAATATATTTTCATTTTAATTATTTGATTATTCCTTTTAGGATGTGTATATTCTTCAAATTTTTAAAATTATTAATTTTTTTTTTTAAACTTTGTAATTGTATGAAAAAAAAATTTATTAATTTTATGCATAAAGTAATTTATATAATATCTCTTTTTTTTTTTCTTTTTTTTTTTTTCCACTTATTTTATTTTATTTTATTTTTACTTTTTTTTTTTTTGTTTAATAGAATAATTTTGGCTTTTAAATAAAAATATAACTTTAAAGAATTGAAAATTTTGTTTGATATAATAAATTTAATCATTTTTTTAAATTGTTAAATTGTATTTATATTTAATGAAGCTTTCTGAAATATATTTTAGAGAAATATTGTTATGAACAAACAGGTTAGAAATTTCAATAATTAAAAAGACTAACTTTTTTTTTTTTTTTTTTTTTTTATTGCACACTTTTACTTTCTAGTAAAAAATAAAAAAAATGAAGTGGAATTTATAAGAGAAAAAAAATAAGAATTACATTTTTTATAAATAATAATAGTTGGATCACTTATAATGTATATAAATGTATTTTCACTAAACTTATTTTTATTAATATTTTTAAATTGTATGAAGTACAAAGATATATATTAATTTAAAAAGTTGACTAAAAATAACAGTGCACATTAATGCATTTTTTTCCAAATGCATTCTTGTGTTTCAGTGAAAAAAAAACAATTGCAATTAAAATTTAACGGTTTATAATGATGAAAAAAAAAAAAAAAAAAAAACAAAATAAATATAAACATAAAAAAATCAGTTATATAAAAATTTATTTATAAAAAAAATTTTTATGTTCTATTATGTAAGCTAAAAATAATTTTTTGAATGTCTTTTTATATTAAAGGAATAACTTTTTTTTTCCTTTTTTTTTTTTTTTTTTTTTTTTTTTTTTTTTCTTATAATACAACTTGTTTGTAGAAAAGGAAAATTTATATTTGTACAAGTATTTGTTACCTAATCTATTATTTAAAACTTTATAATTTAAATAAATAATTTTTTTATTAATATTATTTTAAAAGAAGAAGAAAAAAAATATAATAAAAATAATTTTACTGAACAAATAACTTAACTACTTTCTGTATGAGAAACTAAGTAAAAAAAAAAGGCAAAACAAAATTTTTTATTAAATATTTTAATGAAGAAATGAAAATTAATTAATTATTTCTTAATTTTTCTATTAGATACAATTTAGTTTTTTAGCATTTTAATTACTAAATTAATTTTTTTTTACATTTTAAGTACTAAATTAAAATTTTTGTTTTTTGTTTTTTGTTTTTTACTGTTTTTTGTTTTTTGTTTTTTGCCTTTTGATTTTTATTTTTTGTTTTTTATTTTTTGTTTTCTTTTTTGTTGTCTTATTTTGTTCTACATTCCTTATTTATTATTTTTTTTTTTTTTTTTGTATTCAATTTATGACAGTGTAAGGTAATAATATGAATCTTATAAAATTTAACAATTATATGTCTTTTATAAATAAAATATAGATTTTTTTCTATATAAGATACACATTAATTTATTTAAAAAGGATAAAAAAGTGATAAGTGGAAATGAGAAATAATATAGAAATGAATGAAAATAATATTTTTATGAATCCATTCATTCTTGAAAAAAATAATATAAACTCAGGTGTTTTTTTAAATAAAGAATCAATTATTGCAAAAAAAAATATCTCCAATTATCAGCTTAATAATTTAAATACAGTTGAATTGGGTAATTGTAAAAGTTATAATTTAAATTCCTACTTAAAAAATGTGAATAATGTAAATAATAATAACATTAAATTAAGTCCACTGTCAATTCCAGGTAATATAAATATGAAACAACATAACAATAACTTAAATACTTTTGCACAAAATGAATATAATAATATGAACATAATAAATGGTATCCCTAAATTTTTTTGTTTAAATAGTACCCCTAAAGGCTTAAATAATGAGACAAATGTTAATTCAGGAACCAACAAATTTACAGAAAATTTTATTTTGAATAATGATATTAGAAATGCATATATGTATAACTTTCATGAAGAAGATAAACATAAAAATTATATATATTTAAATAATTATAATAATAAAAATAAACCTATAAATAATTCTCTTTTTTTTCAAACCATTCCTTACAATAAAAGTAATAATATGACATATAAAATACATCCAAATGACAATATTCCTCTGAATACAAATTTCAATCTTTTAAAAAAAAATAATGAACAATATGAATATAAATATAACATTAATGATATACATAAAGAATCTCATGAAAAAATTATTAATAAAAATATTATTGAAGGTGTAAAAAAAAAAGATGGTGAATATAATAATGAATTAAAAAATTATACTACTATTGAAAATGAAAACAATGCTTGTTCTCTTAGAGAAGCTAACCAAATCCCGTTAATTTCAGACATAAATCAGAAAAAAATTTTAGAACCAAATATAAATGTAAATAATATTGAAAAAGGGGGACACACAAAAACAATTAGTGACACTCGTTTAAATAAAACATCTGAATATTATTATAAAAAGGTAAGCATTCAAAATTTAAACAATACAAATCATATAGATGAATTAAATTTAAATGAAAAAAAGGAGGCATTAAATCCTTTCGACTATGAAATATTAAATTTGCATAATAACAAAGGCACATATGTTAATGAATGTAGGTGTGAAAACGTAAAAGATAACAATTTCCTCAAAGATAATGAAATATTAAATAATAATTCTATTATCTCGAGTAATAAATATCACTATATTAATAAGAATAATGAAAGTTTTAATGATTTTGTAGAAATGCAAAACAATAAAATAGAACCAGTTATTCAAGAAAATGATTTTATTTCAAAACAGAATTTTAAATTTAACAAAATAAGCAAGGATGTAGACCATAATTTATTTAAAAATATGAAAGAAAATAGTTCTTTTAGGATAAATGCTGCTTTAAAAAATGAAAAGGAAAGTTATGAAAAAAAGGAAATATGTTATAATGATGAAGAATCCAACTGCATGAAAGTTAAAGATAGAACATATGTAGGTGAAAAAGTAATAAGTGATCAAGAAAATAACATAACAAATATACATAAGAATGAAAAAAACTATAAAAAAACTGAAGAGGAAGAGTCTCATGAAATTTATTATAAGAAAAACATGATAAATAATATATCAGAATTTAATGAGATGTATATATCTGATACAAACAATAATATGAAAGAATGTGAAGAAAACAATGAAAAAACAAATGAGACAAGTAGTATGGAAAACTATGATTTCACTAAATGGAGATCTCATAATAAATTAATGAAAAATATCATTTCTTCATATAATGAAAATATTGATATGGAGAATCATGGTTTATTTAATTTATTATTTGATATTTATGGTTATAATAAAGATATTTTTAAAAATTATTTATTAAATAATGATGATAATTTAATAAATGAGGTAATGAAAAATATAATTTATGAATTATCTGAAGAAAAAAATAATAAAATAATTGAAAAATTAATATTTTTAAAATATTTATTTAATGAATATGGCCATACAGAACATCCTAATTTAATTTCATTAAAAAGCTTTAAATTAATTTTTAAAAATTATAAAGATATATTTTCTTCAGAAAAAATTGTTTTATTTATGTTTAACTGTTTAGATAGAGGAAAGAGGTATCATATAACTGAAACAGATTTTATCATAGGTATGTTAGCATGTAGTCCTCAAATGGATAATAATATAGAAAATGATACAGGAAAATTAAGACATCAATTAATATTTCGTGCTTATGATTTAGATAGAGATGGATATTTAAGTGATAATGAATTACTTGTATTTTTATATCATATTTATGAATTATCTAAAAATTTTAAAATTGTAAAACTAAAGGAAAATAAGAAAAAATTAAAAGAATATGTTATCAATGAAAAAAATAGAATCATGAAATATTGCAATAAAATAAGTTATGATTATTTTTACGATTTAATATTAAACAAAGAAATTGAAGGAACAAGTAATTTATTTAGATCAAATCAAGACATGGCTGATATTGTAAAGAAATATTTTCTCTACACATATGCAAGAAATATAAACACTGAAAAGTATATAAATAATGATAAATTTTTTTTTATTACCACTAGAAAAGGAAAAAATTTAGAAGATGATATTAAAGATTTGAATGAAGATAAAATTGAAAGTTATAATGACAATAAAGAAAGTTTTTTTAATAAAAATATTAATAGCTCTTTATCTCAAAACAATAATTGCATTGATGAAAATAACATTTTACTTAATAATCCATGTGAAGTATCTAAAAACATAGGTATAGAAAATGTAGATAATAGTATATCGGGAGAAAATAAAAATATAGATTATAAGAATAATGAAAAATTAAATATAAATAATTATAATATTAATATTTGTGATAAAAATGAAAATAATAATTTAATAACAAATAAAATCTCACATGAGGATACCTTATTAAATGAACAGGATATACCAAAAGAAAATAATATTAACAAAAATAATAATAATAATAATATTAATAATAATAATAATAATATATCTAGCATTAATATTTGTGAAAATATAAATTGTCAACACATTTCAAATAATACAGATATATATTCAAATGATGAGAATATCAAAAGAGAAAAAATGGATTTAAATAATAATGAGGAAGACCTAAAGAAAAATTTTAATGATATCAATAATGACGATATGGATAACAATAATTATAATACTATAATATCTAAAAGTAAAAATGATGATAAATATAAAAATGTTGAAATAATAGAAAATGAAAATAGTAATTACTCACATAATAATAGTTATTATGAAAATAATTATCAGAGAAATTTAAGTAGCTACAATAGTAATAAAGATACTAATTGTATATCTGCTATAGATAATGTTGAAAATGTTGATATTAATATAAATAATAATGAAGAAAATAATGAAGTTATTAATAAAAAAACTGTTTTTGTGAGAAATTCATCACATGCAATATCAGAAAATAATATAAGAGAACGATTAATTATAGAAAATATGAATGATGGAAGTTTTTATTTTAATAAAGATTTAAACAATAGCATATCAAAAGAAAATGAACCATCAAATTTAAAAGGAAATCATGAAAATGAGAAAAATGTACATCTGTATAATACGAGTAAAAATAAAAACAATTATAATAATAATGAAAGTAATGAAAAAAATTTTAATTCAACCTCTGATTTCGAATTAATACAAGACAATACAAACTTAAATGATAGAAATATTCTTAATGAATCGTTAAAAAATAATTATAACAATAATTCTTATGGAGATAGTAGTAACAATAATAATAGATGCATTAATAATAATAAGAATAATTCACTTAAAGAAGATTCCTTAGGGAATTATAATGAAGAAATCAAACAATATGCATCAAAAAAAATAAGTAATAATTTAAGTAAAAATATAAGAAAAGAAAATGATAATGAACATTATTCCATGAATGTGAAAAGTAGAGATAATATAAAAGACATGAATTTTTTAGAAAATGAAAATGATTTAAGTAGTACTATAAATATAAAATCTCACTGCAATATATCATTATATGAGGAATTAAAAAATAGTGATTTATATAAAGAGAAAAATGAAAATGAAAATTCTTGTTTTAATGAAAATGAAAAAAACTCTACAAATGATATTAATAGTTATATATATAAAAAGAATGAAGAAATTTTAAAAAATAGTAATGAAAAAAAATATATTTCCAATGATAATGAAGATATAATGCATATAGAAAAGGAAAAGGATAAATTACATGACGTTAATAATTTGTGTGAAAATATTTTAGCATATAAAAAAGATAATATTGATAATGTTTGTAAACAAGTTATTAGCAATCATGAGGATGGAAAATGTAATGAAAATTATCACAGAAATGTAAATGATGATAAATATAGAAATAGATTAAGGTGTGATAGAAATGAAAGTAATAATGTGAATAAAATAATAAATAACAATAAATTAAATAATATTAATAAGTTAAATTGTAATTATATAAATAATAAAGATATGAAAAATGAAAAAATACGAATAAATGAAACCCAAAAAATTAAAAATAGTAATGAATATTTACCTCACTTTGGGGAAAAAGATGAATTAGATAAATGTTTTAACAGGGAATTTTATGATGAAAATAATTTAGATGATAGAATTGATCATTTAAGAGAAATTGTTAAATTTTATCGTCAAAAATACATAGATGATCATAGATTAAATACCTTAAATCAAGATATTGCTTATAAAATATTTACAATTTTTTATAAAGTATGTTATAGAAAAAAAAGAGATAATTATAGCTCATATTTCCATATGTTTCGATTATGTTCATATAATGATATTCTTCTTTTATGTGATGAAGTAGCAAAATTATTTAAGTTAGAAAATTCATTAGAAAATGTTAAACTTCCATGTAAAGTTTTTGGTGATATTCATGGTAATTTATTTGATATAATGGATTTTTTTAATTTGTATAATTGGCCTATGCATAATTCAATGAATGAATTAATTTCTATAAATGATTTAATAAATTTTGAAAATATGAATTACAATAAAATGAATGAAAATTATAGTTGTGAGAAAATAAGAGATGAAAATGAAGAAATATATAACGAAAATGATGTAAAATATGTATTTTTAGGAAATTATGTGAATAGAGGAGATTATTCTTTAGAGGTAATTTGTTTTTTGTTTAGTTTAAAAATACTTTTTCCAAAACACATATATTTATTAAGAGGAAATCATGAAGATAGATTATTTAATTATATATATGGTTTTTATAAGGATATTGAAGTAAAAATGAAGATGAATATAGAAACAATGGGACTAATTAATTATCAAAATGAAGTGATAGTTGCACATTCTTATGAATTATTTAATAGAATTAATGATGCTTTAGAATTTTTGCCACTTTCCGCTCTATTAGATAAAAATATTTTGTGTATACATGGAGGTATAGGGGATAGTGTTCATCATATTTCTGATTATATGAATATACATAAGCCAATTTTAATTCCTCAATATGTTGATCGAAATAATAATAATATAAGTGAAAATACTAAAAAAATAATTATAGATACTTTATGGTCAGACCCCATTAATTATAATGATGAACAAGACTTGTTTTTAATTAAAAATTCACTTCATTATGATATAATTCCATCGAATAGAGGAAAAATAACATTTAAATTTGGTAAATATAGATTGTATAATTTTTTAAAAAATAATAAACTAAAAATGATTATAAGAGGCCATGAATGTGTTCATGAAGGATATAAATATACATTTAAAAAAAAATTACTAACACTATTTTCAGCTAGAAATTATTGTAAAAAATACAAAAATAATGCGTCTAATGCATTTATTATAAAAAAAGGTAAAAATATTATTATATTTAATCAAATATTAAAATCTGATAAAATTTATGATATACAAATAAAGGATATGAATAATCATATGAATGATAACTTTCAAAAAAATATTTTTTCTACCAATCAAAATAATCAAATGAAAAATTCAGAAAATTTCAAAAATACTTATCAGAATGAATCAAATATATATGGTAATAATGTATCAAAAAGTCAAGGAGGTAAATTTCATAGTTTGAAAAATAATTTTATTACTAATAATATAAGAAATGATGATAAAGATAATAGTATAAGTGATGAGAATATTATAAATGATAATAATAATGATATTCATAATAATAATATGAATTATGATATTTGTGATAACCATGATAATAGTGATAATGAAAAATACAATAATAATAATAATAATAATAATAATAATAATAATAATAATAATAATAATAATAATAATAATAATAATAATAATGCAATTAACAACAAAATTGGAGATAATAGTAACAATAGTGAGAACCTTTATAATTATTTAATTAATGATATTAAAACAAAAGATATTCAAGTAGAACGAACCAATATATTAAATATGAGTAACCATATGAATAATTTGAATTTTTCTAACATCAGTAGAAATTATTTACCAAATTATAATTATAGGAAACATAGCATAACTAATTATAAAAATATTAAAAAGGATTTTATAAATTATGATAATAAATTATATAATCCTTCCTCTAACAAAATAAATAAAAGTATTAAAAAAAAATTAAGAGAAGTAAAAAATAATCAAAATTTTCCTTCAAATAAAATTAAAAGAGATAACAACATAAACAAAAATATAAATAATTTATTTAATTACATTGGTAATGATGAAAAAAAAAAAAAAAAAAACATTAACTGTAATAAAGAGGAAATAAGTGAATATACTGAGAATAATTATAATAGTAATTGCAATCATAAAATTAATAGTGATATGAATAATTGCATTAATAATAATAATAATAATTCAATAAATTTCAGTATTAATAATACTATACCTTATGATAATGTAAATATAAAAAGAAAAATCTTAAATTCTATTGATACTGAATATATAAATCAAGACGATGAAAAATTTATTAAAAATTTAATGAATAGCAAAATTAACGACCAACCCTATAACTCTGAAAAAAACTTAAGCAACATATCTAGTGATGAGATTAAATTAAACAAAAATATAAATACAGATGCCATTATAGATGAGTTTTTTAAAAATGATATTTATGACGAAAAAAATAAATCTAATCACAATAATTCAAATGAAGGTACTAAATTTCAAAAAAATAGAGACAATGATAATTTAAACAAAATTTTTTATTCAAAATTAACATCAATAAATAAAGAAATTAGTAATGTAGTGCATAATGATAATCCTAGTGTTCAAATAAAAAATATAAATGATATTAGCATAAATGATCAATTAATAAAAAAATCTTTAGGTTATATGATGCCACCAGATTTAGGTATAGGAAATAGGAAAAAATTTAAAAAAGAAACACAATCTAAAGAAAATAAGAGTGAGAATAATTCAGCTACTTTAAGGAGTTTAAAAAGCGATAACTGTGTTAATGATCCATTAAATAAGTAATAAACTTTTAAATAACTTTATAATCTATTTTTTTTTTTTTTTTTATTAGGAATATTCTTCATTTAATATTTTTATTTATTTATTTATTTATTTATTTATTTTTTTTTTTTTTTTTTTTTTTTTTTTTTTTTTAGGTTACATATGCAATATTTACCTCCTGATCCCAAACCTCAGACAAAAATTTCATTTCACAAAAGCATGAAAAATAAAGACAATTAATAAATTATGATTATATTATTCCTTTATTTAAATTTTTTTTTTGTTTTTTTCATACCTTTTATATATTATCGAAATATATTTATGACTTTTTTTTTTTTTTTTTTTTTTTTCCTACCTTTTATATATTATCAAAATATATGATTTTTTTTTTTTTTTTTTTTTTTTTAATTAACTTAAAAATGTATTTAAAAATTTTTATTTTTTTTTTTGTTTACATGGAATTTTTAATGCATATTTAGTTTTTTGTATTAAATGTAAAAAAAAAAAGGAATAAAAAAGGTTCAATTAAGCATGAGCAAAAAGCACAATTATATATTATTTTCTTTATAAAATTTGTCTATGCATATAATAATTTATGTGGAAGAAAACTATATGAATGAAAAGGAATATAAAATTAAAAATTAGTTTTTAAATTATAAGTTTTAAAAAAGTAATTGTGATAACGAAAATATACTTTATATTTTATAAGGAAAAAAATTATTTCAAAAATATTATTTCTTTTGTATCAGAAGTAGAAAAAAAAAATTAAAATTTCGTAAAAATTTATATATATGGTAAATAATGATCGGAAACTACTTTGAAAAGAAATTATATAAAATAAAAAAGAAATGAAATTAAAACATACAAGGTAAAAATCAAAATGAATTATTTTGTGTTATAAAAATAATTATTATAAAAAATTTTAGCCAAATTTATTGCTTTATTTAGTGATATTGAATCAGTAAGTTGCATATTCTCTTTTAAAAGAGTATGTTTATTTTGGGGGTTTTCAAAAATTTCTATAATTTTTATTAAATTATTAAAATAAATTTTTTCTGAATTTTCTATTTTAATGAAATTCACAGCATCTAATATATTATCTAAGCTTAAATAGTTTTCACCTAAGAAGGTTTCATAGTTAATAATTTTATTATAATTGTCTTTTTTTAAAATATCTTTTTTTTCTTCATTATAATTTTGATTTTCGTTATGTTCTTTATTAATAATATTACTAGTCTTACTTTTATCTAATTGACATTGTAATAAAGAATCTAATTCATTATGAATAAAATCACAAATGTTTTTTGGTTTTTTTGTTATAATTTTGCATAAAAGTAATACTAATAACATAGATATATTATTATTTTTTAAATAAAAATCTAGATCATCATATTCTTTTTTCTTCTTTTGTATTTCCCCAAAATATAATGTATGTTTCTCTTCTTTTATTTTTTCATTATTTTTATTTTTTATTTCTTTATTATTTTTCTTTTCCAATATTTTATCTTTATTATTATCTATTATATTTACTCCTTCATTAAAACCTTTTAACTTTTTTCCTATTTTAACCATTTTATATTTTAATATCTTATGTCTACATAATTTTAAAATTATGAAATAAAATTACAATACTAAGATGAAATTATGAAATATATATATAAAAAAAAAAAAAATAAATAAATAAATAATAATAATGTTTGTATTCCTAATAATAGTATTATAATTAATTAATGAATACGTAAATGCCATTTAATTTTACATGTATATTTATTTAAGAAAAAAAAAGTTTATAAAAAAATTTCCATTTCCTTTTGTATTATTATTATTTAAAATTTTTTTTTTCTAATTTTTTGTTAGAGCAAAAAAAAAAAAAAAAAAAAATTTAACAAATATTTTTTATAAAAATGACTAAAAAAAATAAATTATAAGACAAAATATTGCATTACATTATATATCTATAAAATACAAATAGGAAAGAAAAATTTTAAAATTGATAAAAAAAAAAAATGAAATATGAATTAACAAATAAATACAAAAGAATTAGAATGATGATGAAATGAAATTTACAATAGAAATATCAAAAAACAATTTAGACACTAAAAGAAGTTATAACTTGATAAAATATTTTTTAATATTATGTATATTTATATTATCATAATGTAATGAATCTATAGATTTATATTGATTCTGTTCAATTCTAATTAATTTAATTAAAGTGGCATAAGTATTTAAAGAATATGCAAAATCTCTTATTAAACTTCTTATATAAGTACCCCCAGAACAATGTATTTGAAAATCAAAGAATGGGAAATCAAATTCATTTAAATATTTTATATTATTTATATGAACTTTATTAGATTTTATATGAACAGGTATATTTTTTCTTGCATATTCATATAATCTTAATCCTTTAACTCTTTTAGCTGAGTATATAGGAGGTATTTGATCCTTCCATCCAATAAAATTTTTTATATTTTCAAAAATATCTTTTTTATATACACGAATTTTCTTTTCCTTAATTATTTTTCCTTCTCTATCTAATGTATCTGTTTCAAAACCAAAAATTGATAATGCTAAATATTTTTTATAGCATTTTAAAAAATCAGATAGTTTTTTTGTTGCCTTTTGAATACCAATAATTAAAACTCCTTCAGCAAAAGGATCTAATGTTCCACCATGTCCAACTTTCAAATCTATATTTTTTTTATTTAAACTAAAAAAATAATTTTTCAAAACATATTTAACTTTTTCGCATACTTTCATAGAATATAAATCTACCGGTTTATATATATTCAAAAATCCTCCATATAATATATCATCAATGCTTGCTTCACTCTTTACATTTTTATTTACATTTGTACAACTCATTTTCATTATATTACTTTTACTTTTTAATAATATATCTTTATGCTGATTTATAAAAAAATCAATAGAAGATTTAGAATTAGAGAAATATCCATCATCTGCAATATTATCAACACTACTTTTTTCGAAAGTAAAATTTCTATTTGAATTATTATCATCTTCTTTATTCATTTCTTCTTGTTTTTTCTTTTTTTTTTTATTTTCACCTTCATTTTCATTTTCATTTTCACCTTCATCTTCATCTTCATTTTCCTTTCTATTTTTCTTTTCATCTTTTTTCTTTTCATCTTTTTTCTTTTCATCTTTTTTCTTTTCTTTTTTGTCTTCATTTTCATTTTTCATTTTTTTATTTCCTTCATTTTTGTCATTCTTATTATTACTAAATACATCTTTCCTATTATTTATATTATCTTCATCGATCAAATCTTTTGATTTCTTTATTCTTTTTTTTTTTATCGTATTTTTTTCATTTTGATTTTTCCACTTCTTCAAATTAACTTCTAAATTATGTAACTCTTTATATTTTTTATTTTCAATTTTTTTTTTTTGAATATTTTTTTCTTCTTTAAAATTATTTTCGCTTCCTGTATTATGTGTATTGGTAACATTTTTCTTACTATTTAATAAAATATTTTCTCCCGGTTTGAATATTTTGTCCTCTTTATATTGTTTATCCAAATATATTTTTCTTTCTTTTTCTTTTATTTTATCAATAGCAATTGTAATTTTATTTATATATAACAATTTAAAGTTTTTATAACCCCTAATAGAAGATGTAGGAAACTTAATTAACAAATAAAAATATCGCTTTATTGGTTCATTACAAGTATTTATATTTTTATAATTTTTCTTAATATTTATTTGAAGATAAAAAGGTTTTCTTTTTTTATATAAACAAAAATAACTTTGTAAACATATTATATAAATTAAAAGGAAAAAATACTTATATAACATTTTTTTTTTTTTACTTATTAAAATGTTTTTCCCATATGCTTTTTTTTATTTCTTTTTTTTTACAATAAACTTAAGATTATTTTTGCCATTTTTAATTATAAAATATTTCCAATTTTATACCTAAAGAAGCACACTATTTTATTAATTTATTTGATGAAAAAAAAAAAAAAAAAAAATGATATGAATTTATTTTTAAAATTATTTTAAAAAAAAAAAAAAAAATTTTTTTTAGAAAAATATATTTTTATTTCATTTTAATGATCTCTTATGAATGTTTTTTGTTTGAAGATAGTTTCTTACCTTAATATATATTAGTTTTTATGTGAACAAGAAATTGTTAATTAATGTATTAAACTAATTATTTTTTTTGTTTTTACTTTGAAAAGACACTAATCTTAAAAGAAAAATTATTTGTTTAATGAATACGGTGAATAAAATAATGTAAAATAAAATGAGAAATAACAATTTTATTTTTAAAATTTAAAGTCTTTATTATTTAATTTTTTTTCTTTTTTTTTTTTATTTCTAAAATAAAATTTTAGTATATATATGCATATATTAAATATGAAGTGAATTAAAATTTACTAAACAACGGAAAAAAAATTATTTATGTTTATTGGTTATAAAAAAATATAATAATATATTATGAATAAATTATAAAGAATAAATAAATACATATATATATATATGTATTTATTTATTCATTATGAATATTGCATTGTTAAAAAAGTCATTGTTATATATATGCGTAACTTCCTTTTTTTTTTTTACAATGATATTATAAGGTTAAATTTTTATTTTCTAATTGCATTCTTTTAAGTTTTGCTTCATGTAGCATTCTTTCTTTTTGTATTAAATGAGAAGATTCTTCTAAAAGATCTAAAATTTGATTAATTTGCGATGACCAATTATTTAATAAGTTTTCTGGGTTGTTTTTTTGTCCAAATTTAATAATTCCATATAATCTATCAATTTTTGCAATTAAAAATTTGTTTGAAACTAATTCAGATAATAGATTTTCAGTTTCTTCTACGGATGCATTTAATAATTCGGATAATCTATTTAACGAAATTTTATTATAACAATTTGAAATAACATGAATATTATGATGCATAACTTTTTTTTTAAAAAGGTTCCATCTATTTTCTCCACCCATAAATTTTGTATCATTAAAAACATAAAATTGAAGTAGTTCGTCTTGATATTGTAAAGGCCAGTGGATTAAATCTTGATTAATGAAATCTTTAACTAACTGTTCAAATATAGGTATTTCTTTTAACTTTTTTTTTTCAATTTTAATTAAGTTTAAAAATTTACTTTGTTGTTCATCAAATGGAGAAAGAATTAAAAATAAAATATAACATTTTAATTCTTCAACCCATAAATTAGGATCTTTTAAAATAAAATCTGTATTGAATCTTTCTTCATAACATTTAGCAACATCGGAGTAGGATTCTTCATATATATAATATTCAATCATATACATAAAATATTTTAATTTTAAATCATAAAATTCTTCATTATTTAATAAAGTGGGATTGATTTTTCTACTAATTACATGACATCTTATATAATCCTTTCTTAATAAAACTAATCTCATTTGTTCTAAAATATATTCTGTTTTTTCTCTTTTATTCATAGATATAAAAGTTTCTACTTGTACATCTTGTAAAATATTTGCAGCTTCTTCAATATTACCATCATCTTCTTTTATTTTTGATAAAATTTTTATAATTTCTGATCTTTCTACTTCAACAAATATTTTACCTTCACTTATTGTACATAATGTATTTATTAGATTTAATTTTTCCTCTTTATCTTCAATATCATTAATCCAAGATTTACATAAATTTATCATATCAATTATTGTTCTTTTTAACTGACCTCTTTTTTTATTAAAAAAAATTAGATATTCACTTACTTTTTTATAATTATTATTTAATTTATATTTATTTAAAATAAAACAACATATTTTACTAGTAGATACCCCATCAAAAGATTGTCTACATCTCTTCTCTAATGTTATAAGATCTTCTAATATAATTTCAAAATCTCCTACCTTTCAATTAAAATAAATATAAATGGAAAAAATAAGAAATAAATAAATATGAAAAAAAAAAAAAAAAAAATATATTTTTTCAAAAATATTATATAAAATAAATAATTTATCAAAAATGAAAAAAAAAATAAAAGCGTGAAATAAAAAAAGCATGAAATAAAAAAAGCATGAAATAAAAAAAGCATGAAATAAATAAAGCATGAAATAAAAAAAGCATGAAATAAAAAAATATATTTAAATATTAGAAATTTACTTTATAATATTTTTCTGCTTTTTTCAATAATTCATCAGTTTCATTACTGAAATCTTGGGCTATTCTTGGGTCTGTTAAAAGATTATCATGTGAACCAATTATTTTAGCAGTATTATCTTCTTCCATCTTTTTACTTTTTTTATATTTTTCAAAAATTTAAAAAGAATATAAAATTAAAAATTTCAAATACTAAATTTTGTAAATATTTTTACATATAAATAACTGTATAGAGAATAATTTTTCAAAAATATAAAAAAAAAACAAAAAGAAAATAAAAAATGATATAAAATAGATATATCTTTTTAACAATTTTTTTTTTTTAATGTTTTTTATAATAAATTATATTTAATGATATACTCAACAATGGTATACTTGTAAAAAATATGTATTTTTAAATTATATGTTTTCCTTCAATCACAATTTTTAAAAAAAAAAAAATAAAATAATAATAATAATAAATGAAATAAAGTTACACTAATTTATTTGATTTCTGTATACAAAAAAAAAAAAAAAAAAAATATGTATATTTTTTTAATTTTTTTTTTTTTTTTTCTATTTTAATTTTATTTCCTCCTTTTTTCTTGTTATATATATTTATTCAGGCAAAATACAAAAATTTTTATTTTTTTTTTTTAATGTAGTATAATATTTTTAACATATCAAACATATATTTTATTTCTCATATATTTTTACAAGTATTTTATATTTATATTTTTTTTTTTTTTTTAATCTCATTTCATATGTATTTATTTATTTGTATTTTTATTTTTTTATTTTTTTTTTTTTACCTTTGTGTATTTTAATATACACCTTATTTATTTTTTTTTTTTTTTTTATTTGTATTCAAATAAAAAAAAAAGAAAATCGTAAAAATATAAGATGCTTATTCCTATTTTTTAAATTTAAATATAGAATAAAAAAAAATAGTAAAATAATCAATATTTTATCCTTTTCATTTTTATTTTTTTTTTTTTTTTTTACACTTTCACATTTTTCATAGTTACTAAATTCTTAGCAAAATTGTTTTAACATCCTAGAATATTGCATTGTTGTTAGTTTTACTTTTTTTTATATTTTTAAGCAATATGTTAAGTTTTTTTTTTAAAAGAAATAGTTCTTTTAATATTGATATTATTTTTTCTCATAAATATGAATATTTTAATTTTTTAATATTTTAATAAAATTTTTTAGTATCAAAAATTTTAGCTTCCAATTTTTTAATATAAGCATTTATTTAAAAAAAAAAGAGAAAAAAAAAAAAAAAGTAAATTTGAGGAAAAAAATAGAAAAAATGATATAATAATATGTTTTTCATTAATAAATTATTTTTGTATAAACATGAATTAGCATGTTTTTTCAATAAAGTAATCACTAGAAGTCATAATACAGGTGTGTATTCATCTAATATAAGCAGAATATTTAATCATATAAACAATAAATTAAAAAATGAAAAGGAAAGTAAAAATGCTAATAATTTTTTACCTGTATATAGACAATATGAAAATGTTATATCAAATATAAATTATAATAAAATGTTAGGAAGAGATTTATCATATTGTATGAATATATTGTCAAAAATAGAATATTTTAGGAAAAATGAATTTTGGTTAAAATGTTGTAACAAATTAATTAAAGGAAACATGATTCATCGTATTAATGTACAAAGTTATTACTTAACTGCTAATTCTTTAAGTAAAGTTTGTGTATTAAATAATATAGATTTAAAAATAGATAGTACAAAAAATACATATAATGAAAAAAAAAATGAGACAAAAAAATTAGAGATTTTACCTTTTACATGTATTTTATTTGATGGTTATATAAAATTTAAAAAAATAAATAATAATTTCTATCATAAAATATATGATGAAATAGCTATTAGATTTCTTCTTGATATAGAGAATATGAACTTAGATAGTATTAGTTGCACATTAAATTTATTTTCCAAGTTAAATTTAGACGATTATAATATTTTATCTTATTATTTTGCTGATTATTTTGTGCTTACAAAATTAGGAAATAATAATAATTATGATATTAATAGTTCTTTCATGAATAAAGATATAAATTCTTCAACGAAATTCAATAAGTATTTTGTAAAAAAACAAAAAACAAATTTTTTTATTGTAGATAAAAGTAATATTTCAAAATTAGCTATTATTTTGCATTCATTAGCCAAATCAAATACTATTCATTTAGAATTTTTTTTCTATTGTATTGAGTATTTTGAAAAATATTTTAATTATTTAAATAACATTGACATTTGTAATATATTATATAGCTTCTCTAAAAATAACCATATGAACAAAAAATATAATAAATTATCATTATTAAAAAGAATAAAAGATACAAAATTTGAATGTTATTTAAACTGCATTATACAAAGGATATCCTTTTATAAAAAATTTTATATTGAGGAAAATGAAACAACTACTTTTGAAAACGTATATTCCTTTTTAAAAAATGATTATTCTTTAATAAACTTAAATAATGAAAAATACGAAAAAAAATGTTTGAATTTATTATTGAAGTTAATAAATTATTTACAAAATGAAAATATTTTAAATAAAATCAGTTCTATACAAATCTCTTCTTTAGCACTTTCAATAGCGAAAATAAAGTTAAATTCTTTAGATATTTTTTACGCTTTTAACTATAAAGTACATTATCTGTGGAAGCATTTTTCATTATATAGCATTGCTGATTTTTTATATGCAATAAATGAAAAAAATATAAATGATGAACAAGCATCTCTGTTATTATATTATCAATTTATCAAGATAATTCATAAAAGTTATATGAATTCTTTAAGAAATGATTCATTTTTAAATAAAAATATAAATTGCATAAAAAAAAATGCCCGAGGTATTTATTTTATAGAAAATCCATATAAAAAAATTCATTTTTTAAGCGAAAAAGAATGTTCGCTAGTTGTCAGAATATTCCAGTCATTTTCTAAATCGGATTTAATGAATAAATTTACTTTTCTTGATAATTATGTTGATGATTACTTTCCTTATAATATTGAAAGAATACTTGAAACAATTTCTAAAGATGAAAAGGATGAAATTGAAAAAGAGAAAGAAACATACAATAATAAAAATAACGATTTAAATATTTCTTCTGGTGAATATTTAAGGAATCTCCAAAATGAAAGTAAAAATTCTGAAAATAATTTTTGGTTAAAACTAAATTCTTATCCAAGTAGTTTGTTTCCTATTTTTAATAATTTTGATAGAAACTCTAATTTGCTTAAATTATATACCTTAAGCACTTTTTATTTTTGCATAAATCAACATTTTGACTTGATAAATTTTGAAAATAAATGTTTATTATGTTATTTTTCTTTAAATATACTTCATTTTATATGCCCATTACCACTTAATCAAACAAAAGAGGAACTCAGAGATTTATTCATTAAAAATGATGATAAAGAGGAAACAAATAATAAATTTTTTTTTATTTATAAAAAAAAAATAAATGATTTAAGTCTTAGTATATCTTTTTCAGCTAATTTATTGTTTCATATATTACATATCATGAAACTTGAAACACTTAGTGAAATATGTATTAGACAAATTTACACATGCCTTTTATGTTTGTATTTAAATATCATCAATGTTTTTGGGATATCAAAAAATCATTTAAAAAATTTAAAAGAAAATATACTGTTATGTAATTATATAAATTTGGAAAATACTTCCAAACAAAATTTTAGATATTTGAATTATTATATGGATAATTCTGATTTAGATGAATTACAAAATTTGAAAAATAATATTGTAAATAAAAATATTACAATGGTTTCATCCAATAATAATATTATTTTGTATTTATTTTCATTGGAAATTCTTAAGAAAATTAATAAATTTTTGGATTATGCAAAAACAATGAATTATCAACAAAATGAAATGACTTTAACATCAAGTAAACTTTTTTTTTTTTTTTTTTTTTTTTTTATTTCATACATAAATATTAATGAATTTAATTTACTTTTGTTAAATGTATAATATTTTTTTAACAAAAAAAATTTAATAGGAACACACAATGAAGTAAATAACTGTTTAATACAAGTAATAAAAGATGTAAATCATAAACATAAAAAAAACATAAAGTACACTTCTGAAGTTATTGTTGGTCCTTTTGTATTAGTGAGAAAAAAAAATAAAATAAAATAAAATAAGAAGAAAAAAAATAATTTAAATAATCATTAGCTATTATAATATTAATATAGAATATATAATACCATAAAAATGTATATACATAAATTATATTTATTTTATTTTTTTTTTTGTACTTAATATAATTTATAGGATTGTGTTATTGAAACTTAAATAACATTTTTTTATTCATTATTCAAGATTTTTATCTCCTATTTGAAATGATTTAAATGTATCAATATATGGAATTCTTTTATGCATAATAAGATCGTTTAGTTTTTAAAATTTTAAGTTGTAAAAATATATATTTAAATTAACTTTTAAATCTAAGGAATGGATAAAATTTTAATGAATTCCTTACGAGATAAGGTGTATTATATTTTAAATGAAAATTATTTAAAAGAAAAAAAGAAAAATTAAAAATAAAATATGTTTCTTGCTTTTCAACAAATTGGACATACGTATTATTTATAAAAATTTTAATGAAGTACAAACTAAAAAAGTAAGACAAATAAAAAATGGTTACATATATAGGAAAGCAAGCAGAATAAACATGTATTAAAATACAATATTGTAAAAATAAATTAAGAAAAGACAATATGTTTTTTTATAGTAATTTCAAAATAATAAAAAAAAATTATAAAAGAGTAAGTTAATTTAAAAAAAAAAAAAAAAATAAAATAAATTAAATAATGAATACATAACAATTATAAATATAGTAATGTATTAATGATTAAAATATATATAATACTTTTATTTTTTATAAGAAAAATTATACATAAAAAAAGAAGAAAAAATTTTAAAAAATTATGCCCATTTTGAGGAATGAAAATCCCATTCCCTTAAAATTGTTTGAGAATGATTATCACATGAAAGCCAATGGAGTTTTTCTCCATTTTCACCAACTACTACAAGTTTTGGTAATCCTGTAATAGGAACACTTCCACTGGGTAATGATTCGGGATCTTCCCTAACTTGATATCTTTTTATTAAATGCTTCCTTAAATCACTATTATAAGCAACAACAGCCCATGGCATATGCTTAATATGCTCATTAAATTTTTCTTCATCTTTGTCTAAGCTAACTAATATTATTTCAATTTTTTCTTTTGGTGTTGATGAATTAATTGATTTGTAAAATTGTGTTAAAAATGGAGTAAAACTTCTACATTTTGCATTTTCATAGCTTGCAAAATAGAACGCAACTGACTTATTACGCAATTCATCTTTGGATATAGGTTTAAAGAATCCATTATAATCTCTTTTTAGAATATCATCATTTAACTGTAAAATTCCGCCGTATGCCATTTCGATTTTTTTATCTTCTAAAACTGCGTATCCACAAGGAGGCAAATGATGTGCACCACTAGTTATTTTATAACCACCAAGACCTGTATTATTTTCACCTAAATAGCAACCTTTTGAATATGTTACATTAGACTTAGGTTTATAAATTCGTGGCATTATTTATTTTTATTTTATATATCAATTATTTAATTTAATTATTAATTTGTATGATGATTAATTTAACGAAATTCATAAAATTTTAAATTATAAAAGCTGAATAAATATAGTTGAACTGCACTAAATGAATCTTATAAATATAAAATATAAAAAGAAAAATAAATGCATTAAAATATTCAAAGAAAATTAAAAAAAAATTGTTATAAGTAATAAAATGAAATTAAAAATAAAATATATGGAAATTAGGAAAATAATCAGAAATTATAGTTATAAATATAAAAAGTAAAGTTCTAAATATATAGATGAATAATTTTTTATTATATATTTAAACGATTTTGCATCATTTATAATTCATTACAGAAAATAACTATGCCAAGTAAATCCCATATAAAGAATATAAAAAATAAATTTTAATATTAAGATTTTACATAAATTATGATTAATGTAAAATTAAAAAAAAAAAAAAAAAAAAAAAAAAAAAAAAAAAAAAAAAATAGCTAAATAGAATTCATAATTTTTATTAAATATAAAGGAAACAACGTCATTAATATGTTCATAAGGGTGATTTACATGACCCTTTTTTATATTTATTTTTTTTTTNAAAGAATATAAAAAATAAATTTTAATATTAAGATTTTACATAAATTATGATTAATGTAAAATTAAAAAAAAAAAAAAAAAAAAAAAAAAAAAATAGCTAAATAGAATTCATAATTTTTATTAAATATAAAGGAAACAACGTCATTAATATGTTCATAAGGGTGATTTACATGACCCTTTTTTATATTTATTTTTTTTTTGTTAAGTGAAAACAGATGTATTTCTAGGAAAAAAAATTAATAATTAAAAATACTATTAATGTTATTTTTGAAGTTCATAAAATATATCTAGTTGTTCAGATTTTTTCTGTGTGCATAAAAAAAAAAAAAAAAAAAGTGTGGCTATTTTATTTACATTTTGCATATTACATTTTTTTTCGTATTTTTATATTGGAATTTATAATATTAAGAACAAAATTTAAGAATTTTAAGAAATTATTTTAAAAAAAAAAAATAATTTTTTTTTCATTTTTTTATAATAAAAGTAGAAAAAAGCTTAAGGTAAAATTTTTTTGTAATTTTATAAATTTTACTTAAAATAAATTACAAAATTTCCTTTTATACATTTTCTTTTTAATTACACAAAAATTAGTGGGTGTTAAAATTCCGCGTAAAATATAGGAAATTTACAATTTTATTTTTTATAGCTCAAAAAAATAAAAGAATAAGTATAATTAATGGAAAATTTTCAAATAAAGAGAAAATTTTTATGTATTAATAAATGTATTAGCTGCATTGTATTAATTAAAATAAATGTATATATATATATTAAAATGTTAAAAATTTTACATATCTAAAATCGTACAACACTTTTCGTATTATTAAAAAATAAAAAAAAGAAGAAAATAATTAAAAGTTTAAAAAAATAAAAATATTTAATTCTCAAAAGATTCATTGATTCACATTTATTAAATCATATAATTCACATGGAAAAAAATTTAGGAAATATTTTGGTTGCTACAGTTGCTTAACATAATTTTTCATAATTTTCTTATTAATTTAATTAAAAAAAATCAAAAAAAAAAAAAAAAAGAAAAACAAAACAAAACAAAAAAAAAAAAAAAAAAAAAAAAAGTTTAAAATAAGAATAAAAACTGAATGTAAAATAGATAAAAAATGATATATAAATGAATTTACAAGTATTAAAACATAGTAAACAAATAAATTCACAAAATTAAAAAAAAAATTAAAATTTTTAAAATTTTAAGAATTGTCTTTTTTTCTATTACTTAAAATTAAGTCAAGTTTTTTCTTTTTTTTTTTTTCCATTATTTGTTAAAATTAAAATTTTTATGAACAATATAAATATTCATTTTCTAGAATTATAACACTTGTGATAAATCATGAAAACAAAAAGGGTATACTTCATTAATGAATATGTCCTTTTCATTACTATCAGTTATATCGTAAAGAGAATTAAATAAAAGAAACATAATATATATATGAATATTCATCAAAGTATTCGTATCATTAAACTCATAAAATTCTTTATTTTTAAAATATACATTAGATTATTTATTTATTTTTTCAATAAAGTAAATTCCTATGATTCATGAATGTGCTTTTTTTTTTTTTTTCTTTTTTAATAAAATATTTATAATAAATTTATTTGTTTAAAATTTTATTTTTTAAAATTTTAGATTTTAGGGATTTTTTCTTATGATTTTTTGTGAAAATAATGAAACTAGAACGATTTAAATATTTCAAAAGTTCTTTGCAAGCTTTAGCATTAATATTTGTACAATTTTTATCATTCTTTTCCTTCATAGAATGTTTCTGAGTTAAAATTTTTTTTGTATTATGTTTTTCAGAATAATTATTACCATTTTTATTGGTTATAAAATGGGAAGTTCTTTTAGAAAGAGAAATATTATTTCTTGAGGGATTCAAAATTTTTGACAAAAGATTCATTTTATTTAATAAACTTTTTTTTTCTTTAAAATTTGAATTTTTACAATTATTTGTGTAACTAATGTATTTGGATAAATCATTTTTCATATTTGAATTATATGTGCTTTTTCTCTTTACATCTAATTTACATTTCTTTAAAAATAATTTATTATTATACATATTATGTGTTTTTGTGTTATTTTTATATTTTTTCATTAATTTAATATTATGATTTTTCGAGATATCTTTAGTACATAAGGAGATATTTCTTCCATAATTCATACATGATAAGGAGTGTTTATGAGGGTATTTTGTTTTTTCTGAATAATAATGAGTAGGCAGTTTTGAAGTTAAACTCGATCTTACCTTATGAATATTTCCAAAGTGATTATTAATTTTGAGTTTTAAATTGTTTACATTAGTGTTGTCTTTACATTTTCTATTATAAAAAAATTTGTTTTCTTTTTCATTAGTATTCTTTTTTTCTCTTAGAGTTTTTTTTTTTTTTGTTTTTTTGTCTGAATGTTTTATATTAGGGTTAACTACCTTATTAGTTTTTTTAAAATTATTTAAAGTATTTTTAAATGATGATAAAATATTTTTATCCTTTTTTACAAATATATTTTTTTTTTTCTTTTTTTCATCGAAATGATTGATCAAATGTTTCTTTTCACTTACTTCCTTTCTGCAGAAATTAGTAAAACTTGATTCTTTTAAATTAATTTTCTCACCTTTGTTTCTATCTAATGATTCACTTTTAATAAATTTAGTTATATAATTTTTTTTTTTTTGATTTTCATTATATACTCCAATATTTTTATTTTTTAAGATACATAAGTTTTTATTGTCATTAATTTTTCTAGAAGTTACATCCGCTTTTAATTTGTTAGACTTGGGGAATTCCTTATGTTGTAAAAATGTTGATGCGCCTGTTTGTGTTCGTTTGTCTGTATTCTTTCTTAAAATGGAATTTTTTATTTTATGTTTTTTGTTTACATTTTTAATTTTAAATTTAGAAGAGTTGATATCATATGGTAAATTTGTGTTATTGCATTTATTTATTATTTCTACTTTTTGATATTGCAACAGATCTTTTTGACATTCCTCGAGTTTTTTAGCTAAATTTATTAACTTTATATATTTTTCTTCCGAAAAAGTTAAATTGCTCATATTTAAATACAAACGTATATATTTCAATCTTTTATGTAAAATATATATAATAATAATAGAAATGAAAATTTAAAAAAAAAAAAAAAAAAGTTAAAGTAACATAACATATAAAAATAAAACCTAAAAAATGATATTCAAAAGAAGAGTTTTAAAAAATATAATTTGATGTTTTTTATTTTGTCTATTATAAATATGTTGAAAAAAAGCTTTAAACAATTCCTTTAATAATAATATATATAATTTTGTGATATGTAATTAAAATGAATTTCTACAAAAATAAATTATCACTAAATGTTTTGAATATACTTCTAAAAATATTTATAAATAATTATTTAAAAACAATAATACAATGTATTCAATAAATATAAAAAGAAAAAAAAAAAAAAAAAAGTATGTATATATTTATAAAGACAAAAAAAAAAAAAAAAAAATATAAACAATTTTAATGTAGTATTTCAAATTTAGAATATAATTATTATGAGAACTTCATATGAGTACACATAATTTTACACGTTGTGATTATTAAAAATTAATTCCATTTATAAAACGATAGAAACAAAAGTATTTCATAAAAAAACAATATATAGTTAAATTATAAGAAAAAAAATTTTAAATGCCCGTTGATTTTTTTTTTTTTTTTTTTTTTATTAATATCAATGAATCAAGAAATGTCAAAAAAAAAAAAAAAAAAAAAAAAAAAAAAAAATTACGTAATACATATATATATATATATAAATAAATAATGTCTATGCTTGTATATATATTTATTTAGAATACACATACAATTTAAATGCTTAAAAGGATAGGTTAAGAATAAAAATTTTATTTAAAAATTTCACATAAAAAATAGAATATGCATATACATTTTTTAAAATAATAACAAAATATGGAAAAAAAAAAAAAAGAGAAAAATCATTTATTTTAAAACATTCAAAAAATTTTATATAAATCATCTTTTTAAAATTACTTTTAGATTTTGTGAAAATTTATTTTAATGAATATTCATAAACTACCTTATTGTATTTTAATTTTTTTTCTCTAAAAATTGATGTTACCTTATATTTAACTTCTTTTATAAATTTTTAATTTAAAATTATTTTATTAAATTCATAATATTGTTTAATAAATATAATTAAACATTCATTTTATTTTTTTTGTTAAGCTTTCATATAAGTGTAACTTTAAAATAAAAAAAAAAAAAAAAATCCTCTTTTTTTTCTTTGCATAAATATCAACCCTTTTTTAGTAAGACTTTCATATATGGTTCATTAACTGAAATACATTTAGGGCAAAACCACGATTCATTACAATCATTGTTTTCATAATTCTGTATAATAAATAAAAACAAATATATAACATTCATAATATAAATAATTAAAATTTTAATATATTTAGAAAAGACAAATTCATAAAAATTTTTTAAAATAAGATTATATTTATTTAATTAAAAAAAAAAAAAATAATAATGGATTTTTATTGTTTCAAATGTATTTTTAATAAAAAAAAAAAAAAAAAAAAAGTTAACTTACAACACATTCAAAGTGAAACCATTTATTACATGAATCGCATCCAACCATGCCAAATTCACTTGATACTGATTCTCCTTTATTACATATGGGACAAATATCTTCTTCCATGTTATTTTCTATATGAACATCACATAATGAAGTATCATTTTCCGGTTTTACAATATTATGTAATGTATTTTTGTTTTGATTATAGTTTAGAGAAATATTCTATATAAAAAAAAAAAAAAAAATAAAATAAAAAATAACAAAATATCTGTATATTTCTAAAATTAAAAAAATATAGCTTTTTTTTTTTTTTTTTTTTTTTTATACCTGCAACTGTTTTTTTTCACAATTACTTAAAGAATCAAAAGAAATAGTATTTTTCCCCTTCGAATAATCATTTAGATATTTTTCATCAGATTTTTTATTTAAATTGGATTCTGTATTTAAATTCAATGAAGAATCAATACTTATTTGATTTACATAATTTTTACCTCTATTCATTGTCTCATTAGAGATATCATTTAATTCTGATGATATAATTTTGTTTTCACAATTATTCTTAGCAGAAAATAAACTTATTCTCATTTTCTGATTATTATTCTTATCGATTAAATTTTTTAGTGATTTACTTGATGTACCATTTTCAATTTTATTTTTTTTTATTTTTTTACTTTTTTTAATTTTATCTGGGTAAATATTATACTCACTATATTTGTTTAAATTTTTTCTATTTAAACTTTTGGTTAAAAAATTTTCGTTTTCTTCTATTTTTTGTTTGTCAATATTGTAAACATCATAATGATAATTACTATAATTGTATTTATTTTTTATATTATAATCTTCTAATTCTGATGGTATATTTTTATTTCTATGGGTGTTATATAAATAAGGAGGAGATTCTCCACTCATTTCCATTTCTGTATATAATTTGTCATATTGTTTTTTTAATTTTTCATAATCATGTTTTATCATATAAGATATTTGGTTATTTATACATATTTTTTCCCTTAGTAGAGCCATACATTGTTCTCTATCATTCATAATTTCATTTAGGTAATTATTCAACTCTTCTTCATTATAATTATTTGAGTCACTTTCATTTTCAATTTGATGATCATCATTTGAATTTATATTGTTTGTTTTTTCTAATTTTTTGCAAGATAATTCACAGTCCTTATTTTGTGAAGAACGTGTTTTTTCATCACTTTCTTTTTTTTCATTATTGAATTCATTATTTGCTGTATCATCAAGAATTTTAATTTTCTTTATTAATTTATCTTCACTATTATTTTCATTTAAAACATTTTGTCTTTTTTCTCTTTTTTTTTTATTTTCATAATTATCTTTATTAATAATGTCACTTGAGTTTTCTCTCTTTTCATTTTCACCATTATAACTAGTATCATATTTATTTTCTTCATTTTTATCTTCATTATTATACTCATTTTTTGTGTCTAATTTAATTTTTATTTTTTTATTATTATTACTGCCATCATTCCGTTGTTCCTTATCTAAAATTTTGTTTTTAATGCTTTCTGAATTATTATTATAATCAGAGGAATGCACATCTATATTTTCTTTTTGTTTATTTTCTTTTAATAAAACACTAAAAGAATTTTGCGAGTTATCATTTATATTTATATTTTCACATTCTATTTTCAATTTTTCTTTTTTTTCGATAAAATTATCATTATTTTTCATACTATTAAAAATATTTTCTTCATCTTTTTTTTCTTTTATATTTTCATATTCTATATGTTCATTATTTCCTTTTTTTTCTAACATATCTTCAATAATATTATTTTTAACTGAATATTTATTATTTGATTCACTGTTGGATTCTATGTAGGAATCATCATTATTATATTTTAAGTGTTTTTCTGATTTATTTTTATGAATGTCATTTAACTTTTCTAAATATATTTCTTCCTTTTTTTCAATCATTTTATTAATGTTGTGTTCCTTTTTATCTAATTCCTTCATAAGAAAAAGCAACCTATGCAAATACCCGGTTAAATGGCAAACATTCTCCATGAAAACTTGAACTGGATCAGACATTTTTAGAATTATTTTTTTTTTTCATTATCTTAGACTATTTTAAAAAATTCTAAACAATTTAAAAATATGATTTATACTTTTACCTTAATAACTACTTAAATATATACATATATATTTATTTTTATATTTCTATTATAAAAAATATATATCTATAAATATTTTATAATGACTACTGTATAATCAAATTATTATTATTTTAGTAAATATCACAATTACTATTATTTATACATAAATTGTAAAATTTCTTTCCTAATTTTTTAAGCAAACACATTTATAAACATTTAGTACTTACTAACTTTCTTTATCTTTATCTTTTTTTTTTTTTTTTTTTTTTTTTTTTTTTTTATAATTATAAAGTATACATATACTTTTTCTAGTATAATTTTAAACTAAATTAAAAAATTACTTCTTGCTAATTCATAATATTCATAAGTGGGCTTCTTTTTTAAATTTATTAAATAATTTCTCTATTTAAAAATTTATCATAAAAATAATTACTCATAAATATTAAACAAAATATAAAATATCTGTCAATTCATAATTTTACCTTTCATTATTTATTTATCCTACTAACCAATTAATCTTTTAACATTTTTTTTTTTTTTTTAATATTGAATTTTGTTCTATCCTAAAAAAAGATAATATTTGCTCCTTTTTATCATTTTTTTAGAAAAAAAAAAAAAGAAAGAAATATTAAACATATAATGAAAGATAAAAATAAGAAAAATAGAATCAAATAAATTAACTTTTTGTTTATATATCAATGTTTAAGACAAAAAAAAAAAAAAAAAAAAAAAAAAAAAAAAGGAAAAAAAAAAAAATGTAGATGTATTATATATAAAAAATACAATTCAATGATTAAACATATGATCATAAGTTAAATTTTATATATAACATGCATAATAATTTATTCAAATTCTTTTCTTTTAAAATCTTGTAATTTTTGATTTATGAATAAGAAAATTTTTAAATGGGATTATTTTTTTTTTTTTTGTTATAGTGATTTGAAAAGAATAAAATAAAAATAAAAATTATTACTAAAATTAAACATGAATATAATACTTTTCCTTATTAATTTTATTTTAAAATACTTTTAAAATGATAAAATAAATTCTAAAAATTAAAAAAAGTATAAATTTTTTTTAAAATATTAAAAAAATATTTTAATTTTTTTTTTTTTTTTTTTTTTATTTTTAATAGAAAAATATTACTACTTGAAGTAATATTTATGAATTTTACATTTTTAAGTCATGAAAAAAGAAATTATATAAAAGATTTATTTAATTTTTATATTTATTAATAATATATTCCATGAATTTCTATATAATTAAGGCATGATTTTTCTTTTTTCATATATATACCTTTTTAAGATAAATTTTAATATAAAATATAATGTATTTTAATAAATTTAAAAAATTATCTTTTTAGAAATAAAAAAAAATGCTCCATGTAAATTATTATATGAATATTAATTTTGTTTTTTTAAATGTTTTATTAAAATAAAAAGTATTTTTCCATTTAATAGCATTTTATATTTATAATTTAAAAAGTATTTATCATAAGGTAAACTATTTGAAAAAATTAAGAATTTTAAAAAAAATGAAAAAAAATATATATAAAACAAGATAAAATATTAATTGTAGTTTTAAAAAAGCATTTAAATATAACATTTTAAAGAAAATTTCTAATGGATCTAAATTAAAACAAAAATTCACATAAGGACAATATATATATTGATAAAGTTTTTTTATTAGTTACTATTTTTTTTTAAATAATGAGGAAAAATTTTTAATTTGGGAATACTTAAAAAGAAGAAAATAAATTAAAAAAATTTTATAAAAAATTTAATTAATGTTATTTATATTAATCATTTTTTTTTTTTAATTTTAAGAACAGATAAAAACATATGGTTTTCTTTTCATTTCACAAAATTATTTAACTAAAGTTGAAGAATTATAAATATGTATATATATTTAATTCTGTTTAAATGTAAAAAAAAAAAAAAAAAAGAAAAAAATGAAAGAGAATGAGAAAAATATGACTTCCATTAAAAAATTCATACGAAAAAAATATAGTAACAAAAAATAAAAAAAAATGCTATTAATAATGAAAAAATATATGTAATTTAAAAAAAAGAAAAAAAAATAATAGGTACTTTATCCTTGTTAAACATAATAAAATAATTATTTTTCTTAGATATTTGAAATTTACTAATATAAAAATATAAAAGAACATAAAACGAACCAAAAAAAAAAAAAAAAAAAATAGAAGTTAAATACATATTTATATAATAATAATAAAAAATGATAAGTTCTAATTTTAAATAGATTGAGCTAATTTTTGTGAAACAGTTTTAAGATCCAAAGTGTCTTTTTTTTCTGGGTTTGTTATTTGCATTAAAATTTCTAAATCCTTATCAGTTAATCTTGTATCTAAAGCTTTCATGACCTTATAAAATAAAAACAAATAAAATACAACAATTGTAATATATTAAATGAATTATGAGTATACATGAGATCATATATATATATATATATATATATATTTATATTTCTTTTTGAAATAATTAAATTACCCCGATGAAGTTATCAATTCTAATTTGAAGATTCGAATCTTTTTCATTAACATTAACAATATGTTTATAAGGTTCCTCATAGCTGAAATGTTTTCTTGCAAAATTTAACCAGTAATCCATGCTAATAGTCTATGTTTTTAAAAAAAATAAAAAGAAATAAAATACATTATAACATAACATTTATAGAAAATAAATAAAATATAAAAATCATATAAGAAAAATTAGGAAAAAATTTGATGATTTTTTT